AAATAATTCGAGTTCCCGTATTTTCCACGTTAATTCCGAAAATCTGCTCCCGCAGAGAGCTCCGCGATTTTTAGATCGTTACCGCGTTAATCTCTGCTCCGGTGTTTCGGTACCGTCGCGATTTAATATCGTCGACGAAAAGTATCTCGCGAACATCCTAAAGACGGTTGTTCCGGGACGAAAGACGTTGTTGCCCGTACGCAAACGGATGCGACAAAGACATTGGCGGTATCTCGAAGAAGAAAAGCCCCGAAGAGTTCGCGAGTTTTATCGCGAAATTGTCGTCGATCGGTGGAACGGTGGAACGATCGAGCGATTCCAACGAGCCGCGCTCGTAGCCGAACCATCGACGAGCGTTCTTTTTTTGCCACGGTTGCACGTACGCGGTTCTTGCCCCGATACCGTTTTTATCAGGACGGTAAAACTCATTTACGTCGAATTCAATTATGGAGAAAGTACATTTTCCTGCCAGAAAAAAAAACGTGGCCGCCGCGCCGCAAATTTCTCACAGTCTTGGGAAAACGAAAGTGCGCGAATTCCAATGAAATCAAAGGGAATCAAGATCAGGGGAACTTTCATCGCAATCTTCCTGATTCCTGATTCGCGTTACACGACCTCATCCTTAATTACTATAATCGAGCGGTCGTCGAACTTGGAAACGCTTTCTTCGAACGAGCGGCCAGGATTTCAGCAGTTTTTCACTCGCGGTCCTGGAAAAGTTAGACAGCGGCCGATGATCGATTCGTATCGGTTCGCGTCGAACCGGCGAAAAATCGCGCGTCGGGAGAAAGTCGCGAATTAACCGGGCGAGATACGATCGCTCTCGAGTGCCGCGATTCCTTTTTTTCTCTCTCTCTGTCTCTGTCTCTGTGTGCGTGTATGTGTTTCACGGTATCGGTGACGCGAAGTGCCATCGCGAAATAGACTTTCGCGGTCGAACGTCCTCGTCCGCGACCGAACACGGAGCCGCGAGCAAATAGAAAATTTCTCCGGCAGAATTTTATCGGGAAGCCGTTACCGCAGGGCAGCGCAGCGCAGCGTAGCGACGCTAGAATAAACGTCTTTGGAAGAGCGCTTTGAGCGGCGCGCGCGCGATACAGATCATTTGATCGGACGGTTCATTAATCTTCGATGAGCAGGAAACACTTTCGTCCTTATTGCGCCCGATCGGCCCGGATAGACCTCGCTTCCCCACCGAAGTTTAATGGAATTTAAAGAGAATTTTAAACTTTGGTTCCCGAGCGTTCCGGAGCGGATCCCGAGCCCGATGGACCGATGGTACACTCGGCGACACCGTGCAACACCGTGCAAATCTTCTCAAACTGAAATCCAAAGACTCTGTTCGCCGCTTATCTCGGCTTATCGATCCCAATTCCTGTCTTCGAGAGATGGCTTCGCAAATTTTCTATCTCTCTATATCTATCTATCTATTTCGCTGTCCATCCAGTCGAGGGGAAACGGACGGGTATTGTTCCCCGCGCGAACGATCTAATGAATTTTTTCAGTTAAATTCGCGAAACAGAGGCGGCAAACATTTAGCCGGGACCGTTGTCCGATGGCCGGTGATCGAATTCTGTTTCGAGTGTGTGCGAACGCGCGCGCGCGCGGAAAATGGAAGCCGGCGAACAAAACCAACAGGAATTAATGCCCGTCGAAGATTTCATTTCCTCCGTCCACGGTCGCCCTCGCGCCCGCCGGATAGCAAGATCGCAATCGCGCCGACCAACGGACCATTAATAAAATTGATCGAACTTCATCGATTCCATCTAAACATTTCGTTTAACCATTTTATCGCGCTCGGCATCGCGTTTGCAATCTCTCGTTCGAACTGTTCGGATCGGACGCTGCTCGCCGCGACCTAAGCTCGACCATTGCATTTGAACAGCTCGCGTCGCGCGTTCGTCTCGGTTCGGCGAAAGGGTTCGCGACGAACCCCTAGGCACTTCGCGGGCTGAGCGGCCTCGAAAAGGAACAATCCCCAACGCGAGAATAACTCGGCACGCACCGGAAGCAAAGTTACGGATTTTTGACGATGCTGGCCGTGACGTCGTTACCAGGCTACGAAGCCAGACGGTTAATTTTCGATCCAATTAGCGAGCTCGCAACCAGAATGGACAAATATGCATTTAATATTAGTGCACGTATCGGCTTCGGCAAGTAAATTCGGGCGTAACTAGTTCATCGGAGGCGGAGGCAGCGGCAGAGGCAACGAGGCGCGAGCGAAGAGAGAGAGAGAGAGAGAGAGAGAGGCGGCACGAGCCGAACCGCTAGGGGAATAACCGGTGGCTGTAAAACAAGATCGTTACCGGTACTGTCGCTTTCAATTATCCGAGTTTCTAATACTTTTAAGTGCGATGAATTGTAGCCCGTTCCCAGGGCGAGACGCCGTACTTCATTAACTCGAGTTTCGGCGTAATGGTTCTTGTTTCGGACTGTTTTGCCCGGCGGAGTTTTCTTCGGTCCTTATCAGATATTCCATCGGGGGCCTAACTTCGTTTAAAACTATCCGTATCGCGAACAATCGGAACGCGATTCGAGCGGAAACGTGCGCGCTGCGCGGCGCGATGATTTGCCCGCGCCCATTATCGCAGCGCGCGAGATGATTAACCGACGGCGGGGCGGGACGACCCCCTAATATCGGATCATTTATTCAACGTTAATAGCTATACATTACCTTATCAAATACTCGTACGAAGATCGGCGTATTAGCCGTCTCGAATTAACAAGCTATACATACGTGTAATTCGGTAGGTACACCGTAATGGAGCGCATCATCTATCGATTATCGATAATTGCCAAAGACGTTAGTGTATTTTCGACGCGCGCCGTACGGCGTACGCCGCAGTTTGCCGAGCCGCTTTCGGACAATTATGTAACGACGATACATAATTAAATGCCCGTTTCGAGCTATTAATTCGTCCCGTCCCTTCGGCCGACGGGGCGACGCGATGGCCGATCGTTCGGATTCCGATTCTCCGCGAAAATGATCGCTCGCGCTAATTCCGTGATGCGCGGAATGTGGAAAAAGAAATTATAAACCGAGTCTTTGCGGGGGAAAATGAACATTTTAGAGAGCGCCTGGCGCGAGCAGCTCTCGCGTCACGATAAAACTCGATGGTTTTGCCTTGACAGCCGTTTATCGAGGCCGCGGATCTCTATCCAATTCCCGATGTTGCAAATTAGGTCAGGAGACTCGGAATTTGCATACCGACTCGCGATTAAACCGCCGCGCCGCGCCTCGTCAACCGAATATTTTTCCCGTTTCACCTAATAATTTAGGCGACACCTTTCGGGATTCGCTTCATTATCTACGAATGGCAGCGCTCGCGATTTAATAGGTTACTTCCTGTCGGATCGATGCGCTCGATTCGCGCGCATTCAAAATATACGCTATTTCGGAAGCGTTGCTCCGCTATCGTTTCCTGGCCCGAATTTGCAAGATCGACGAACTCGTTGAACTTTCGAAATCCCGCGAATCAACAATCAAATATAACCTCGGCGAATCTTTTATCGTGAACGGCGTCCGGCGAGAAAGTTCCGAAAAATTCCCGTCGCTGTTGTTTCGCGAGAACAACTCCAAACGAGCAATCGATCGCGAAAGCAAAATATCTCCCGACGCCGAACAGTCGAAACGTTCGGGACACGTTTTGGGTCACGTTCGTCCCGAACGGACAACGACTGCGTATCGTCCCTTAACAAGAAAAATCATCGATACGCTCCGTACTCCGAACCGGGTGCATCATGGTGCACCCTGCGCCGAAAACGGTGGCGCTCGCGCCGCGAGGAACGCGTTAATCGAATAACAAAAGCGAAGCTCGGGCCTGGGAACCAGAAGCACCCGAGCTAACGCGATCCGGCTATCGAGCAAAGAGCACCGGTCGCTGAAACGCGAAAGAGTAAAAAAGAAAAGCTGTGAAAATACGGAGGAAGCATCGAGCGAGCAGAACGCGGGCGAAAGGGGAAAAAAGGAAGCCGATGGCGCAAAGTTAACTTATCGTTGGATCCAATAAGCTAGAGTGCCGCGAGCTTCGAATCGCCGTGCCGCGCCGAGCCGAGCCCGCGCCACGCCGGCAGATTTCAGTCCTGAATATTCTCATCTCGATCGGTGCCCTAATTACGCGTCGATCAGCTAAATTGCTCTTGTCGCGACAAGGCCGGTGTACCAGCCACGCCAACGTTCCCGTGTAACGATCGGATCTGCGCGGGGATTAGGTCGCGTCCATGCTCCCGTCGATTTTCCAATTTTCTCTCGCAGACTATTTCGATTTTTCACGCTGCTCGCCGCTGCGCCGAATTTGGTTGCGCTCGACTGCAACCGGTGGGATACCGCCGGTTCGTTGATCTTCGCGCGTGGTTTCATCGACAGAACCGACTACTTTGCGTTAGTTTTTAGAAGGAACGGGAATTCTGAATTCTACGTGTAGAACTTGTTCTAGAAAGCGAACGAACGTTAAACGACGGCGGTTTTACCGTGCTGGTACTGGATGCGCGAAGGACGCCATAATCAGAGCGAACTCGAGACGAGAACGTGTTCGCGTATCCAGACGACGCGCGCACGACGAACATTTTGGACAACAAACGCTCGATCTCCCGCGACACTTTCAACTATAAACCGGAGAAATTTGATGGATTCGTAAACGAAACCGAGTCACGAAGACGTCGGTGTATTTCACTGATATCGTTGGAAAGGGAACGATGCGCCGACGTGGATCCTGCATCTCGCGAGTCACGAAGTCGGTTGGACCACCAATAATGGCCTGTCGCGTCGATTAGCCGAGGATCCCGAGTATTCGGGAGAAGATGCGGTGCGGTGCGGTGCGGTGCGGTACGGCCGCAGCCGCAGCGTCGTGCCGTTCGTCCGATCGGGGTGCTTAAGTATCAGTAATCGATACATCTTGTCTGCGCCGATGTCACCGCGAGCACACCGCCGAGCTAATATCGAGGACCGTCAAGTCTGCGTCGTCGTTGTCGTCGTCGTCGTCGGTGGGTTCTCTACTCACCCGTACAGTGTCAGACCGTCTGCCGCTTCGGGAAACTCAGTGGAACACGGTGACGTCGCGAGAACGGTCGCAAAAGTAGACTGCGAGAAACGAGCAGGGAAAACCAGCCCGTGAGAGGACGAAAGACGCGCGCTCGGTCGGACCCGTCGAAAACGTATCGTGGCAGACCGCGGCACGACGCCACGTTTATAAAGTGCCCCCTAATCTCGTGGCGTCTACGGGAGCCATTGTTAGCCATCGGGGCGCACCGGCCGAAACGGTGGGGAGTAAAGGTGACTACGGTAATCCCATGGATTTCGAGGTGGTGTGGGTTAGGCGAGCCAACAGGGAGGAAAAGAGAGTCGACTCCGCTCGCTCTCCGCCGCGTTTCAGGCTCTCCTACCCGCCACCTTTCTTATTCTTCCCCCTTGATCTCCGGTAATCTCGTTCCCCGGAGCCTCTCGCGTCCTCCTCCGGGGTTATGTATCGTCGCGCACGGTACACAGCCAACCGAGTCGGAATCGCGGCTATAAATTCGACCGGCGCCGCGCGGCAAACGGACACGCCGAGCTCCGGATAAACAGCTTGAATTCGTTGGCTATTACCTTTTTTCTTACGCCGCGGCTTACACCCGACTCCCCGGCTTCCGCGATCCTCCGTTAACGCGTCTCGCCGATTCCGCGATACGTCGCTCGAGCCGGAAGCTTCATTTTTATCGAGACTCGCTCGGTAGCCTGCCGATTTTACGCATCTATCGAGTCAATCGATACAGATTTTTAAAGCGGTCAATCAGGTCTAAGAGCGAAGGTAATTAAGCGCGACAGAGTCTAGTCGAAGCGCGGCGGGTTCTCGAATATCGGCGTCGATTTCCGCGTGAACGTACGATAACGCGAGTAAAAATAAACTGAATTTCGATCGTCGGTTGCGGATAACGACCGTGAAATACATTCATGTATTTTTTCGCTTCGATAAAATACGAGCGCGATCTCCGCCTCTAATCGGGTCAACGCGTTTCGAACGTAGGATTTCTGTCGGACGCATTTTTTCCAATTGATCGGCGAATTTAAGCTTCTTTGTTTTGCATCGCGAAATCTGCGAAATGAAATGTACACCGTCGCGCGTGACCGCCCGTTTTTCGCATCGCATTTTCACGGATTGTTTGCGCTACAACGACCGGCGCGAGCGCGCGGCCGCGGCTCGGATCGCGGAGCATAGTGTCGACAGGTGCGACGATCGGATCCTTCGTGGCGGCAGCCCTAAGACTTCTTATAGCAATTCGGACTCTGTCGCGAATCTGCTCGAGCTAAACTCTCGTCGAAACCTTCTATGGCTGCCGCTGGCCGCGCCGCGTCTAATGCAATTAATGCAATTCCCGCTGCTCCGTTTCACAAGGATCGCTTAGAAAGTCGCGGCGCAGCTGCTAAAAATTTATCACGCGCGATCTGCTGTGAGCAGATGCAATTTCTGGCGCAATTTCAGATGCAATTAGTTCCGTCAAAACCGTTGCGTCCGACGCAGTTTCGTCGTTGCGCGAGCCGCGCTCCCGAGGTGTCTCGCGGTCCTGGGTTGTCCGCAATTAAATTCCAAAGCTGACGCGCGATAGGACCGTTCCGATCCTTCTCGAACGTTCCAAAGGACCCGCGTAAATGTTGCGAAGAACTGCTCGATCGCAGTCTTCCTCCCGGAAAACGAGCCAACGGTCTCCTCTTCGTCTTTCGAAAAAAGACTCGAATCGGCTGGTGGCGTCCGTTGCACCGGGAAACGCGATTCCATCTCCGCTTTCCCCGCACAAATATTTACGATGAAACGTTATTCTCTCGGCAAACTGATACGATCAAGGGCCATAGTTTCACCGTAGAGTATAACTCGTTCGAAACGCGACGCGACCGAGTCCGCCGAATTAATCTGTTTTTAGCGGGCAACGAGTTTTTATACGATTACGTCGGAATATACGAAGCGATCTTGCGCCGCCCGATAATGAGAAAAGCAATACCTTTCCCGGGATTTCCATCCGTTGTGCCGTAATTCTGAAATATCCCGCGCGCTTACACGCGGACACCGTGTTAGCTGGTGGCGCATACGCGCGCAACGTGCTTCTGCAGCGTACACGCGCGAGTAACACGCGCGCACACTCGCACACGTATCAGCCGGGCACGAATTTTTCCTGTTATAGCGAAGCCATTTCGCATCCCGCTTATCCTAGCCGAACTATTGCCCCCGCGTGCTCCCCCCTCCTTCCGGATTCCCTCTATTTATCTAAACGTCGACGGGGCCCGGGAACGCGGCAGCCTCGCCGCTATTTCCGGGCCACGATGGAACGGGATTTTGTTAAAAACGTTCACAATGGGGCAGACGAACCGCGGAAACTGTATTAGTCTCGCGCCAGCGTTATCCGGCGCCGCGCCGTCAACGATTTCGCTTGCCGAGTCCCGATTCCTCTTCTCCGCCCATACGGTAGAGCCACCTTTTCAATCGAACGACCAGTTATCGGTCGTCCGAATTCGCGAGCGTCTAATTTCCTGAACACCGGTCGACGTCGTTTCGAAAGAGGTATAGTCCTCGCGCGACAAGAGGGCACCTTCGCGTTTACGTTTCCCCCTCTTCCCAGCCGCCCCACTGCGCCGCGTCATCTTTCTTCGGCCAATAGCGACGCGCGAGCAGAACGGTCAGCATTTTTGCGGAAACGAATTTCTCGATCCGCTGGACAATATCAACGGAACGAATCTTTTATTCCGGATGATCCGACTGCGAGCGATAAAGCTCCGTCGAACGGATAATAAATTCCCGCCGTGTAAATTTCGCGAGTTACGGTAGCGCTGGAAATTCCGGAAACGCGTGCCAGGCATTTACGTTTCGCGCGCGCGCGCCAACCGGAAAGTTAAAATCTTCCGCAGCAGGACCCTGCCGGCGCGCGACGGTTCCCACAGTTCCGTCGCGTTCCCCACAAGTTTCGCCGTAGTTTGTGTGCACGCCGACTCGAAATGGCGGAACCAAGTTCCGGTTACCGCTTAATCTTCCGGTGCGCGAGTGAAAGGAGCTCGCGCCGGTAAACTTGGCCCGGGGATCTTTCGTTTACATTTTTATTAGCAAATAGGTAAACGCTTGCTCGTTTATTCGCCACGGGATGTTCGCTTTGTTCTTCGTTTTGCCACGGAGCAAAGCGTTTTAGAGGATTTCACAGTTTAGCGAACTGTGACCGACTGGATAATTATGCACCGGTTTTGCGCGCGCGCGCGCACACACACGCGTCGACGGGAACAAGATCAATGTCACTGCGCGAATAAGTAAAGAAAGAATTTGTTCGGTCGATTAAGAAAGTCCGAGAGAAGCGAGCGAAATCGAAAGGGTAACCAGTTTTCTTAACAGCGTCGGGCTCGCGCGCCGGAGAGTAAAAAGTCTACGAAATTCATGCTCGTACGCGCAGCCGGTGGCCAGCCGGCGTAAAACCGACGACGAGCGGCTGGCAGCGTTCTTCGATGCTACCAAAAACAAATATCGAACTTTATTCGGCGCGGACGCGTAACGAACGACGAATAAAGCGACCGCGGCACGCGAACGGTCTGTTACGGATCCCGTCTTTCTTGCGTTTCCGTTCGCCAAACGCGCCGCCTGCATCGTTCTGTGCAATTACGCGCGCGCGCCCCAACGAGCAATTCGATAAGAGAATGGAAGAAAAACGAAAAAGAGAGGGAAGAGGCGCGTTTAAATTATAAATATTATATCGCGCGACCGGCTCGTTAAAGCGTCGTCCGAAACACCGGGGCAAATAAACGACCGGCGGTGCGCCGAGCACGTGCTAATTCAAAGTTATGCAAATTTACGCGAGTTTAACGCATTTTTTGATATCCTTGCGACCGGGAGCCGGGAGCAACCAGTTTACAGCGCCGGTGTTCAACGACGGTGGCTCGGTTTTATCTTATTAGAGACCGGTGTAACGGAAAATTGCGGCAAACGGAAGGGGGGAAAAAAAGCAGCGGCTCCGCTAACGAAGAAATGCGGCGAAAGCAACGAGCTTATAGCGAAAATCCGGCTCTATCTCTGTTTGAAAAACTAATCCAAAATACTCATCGCGCGGGAACGCGATCTGCGACGACGCGTCTCCGGCGAGAAAATCGCAAGGAAATTTGCCAAGAACGATTAACGGGTTGGATTGCGTGGCGCAATTTCCAAACGTTTGCAGGACGAAAAGATAAAACGCGACTCGAACAAGAACGTTGCTTCTATTCGATCCGCGGGACAGAGAATATTTCGGTCGACGAAATAAAGTGCCGATTCTTGTTTCCATCGAATACCCGAGAAACGAATCAAAATCCACGGCCATACCCTTCCTCGATCCTCTTCCATCCTACGTCGTTCAACGTTCGGATAGCGAGATCCGGGTTCATTTTCATCCGGAGTTTAAATAGCGTAATTTTACTCTCCGGTTTCTGTCAATTCATTTAAATTTTCCCGTGTCTCGACAAGTTCTACAGAAACGCTAACGCGTAAAAAGAAATGTAACCGATCGTCGTCGGTTTGCGCGAATTCGCGCGTTTCTTCGCCGCGGATGCCGGAAAGTTTGCTAATGAAATTTCGTCGAAGACAATCCGTTTGGGGAAACCGAATTTTTGATGGTGGATCAAGGATCGCGGCGTTCCGCTCGGCGGAAGGTATCGCGCGTTTCCGATACCAGGGCACCTCGTGATTCGATTCGCGACGCGCCGTTCTCGGAAAACCCGGCCCCGGTTCCGTCGAATATTCGAACGATCGTTCGGCCGCGGTGTACCCGCTCTTAAACCGCGATAAATTGAAAGCGGACGAATAAGCCGCGCCCGGCGGATTCGAAAATCCTGTAAAATCTACTTTTCCAGAGGATTCAAAAGCAACATATTACGCCGGGGAGTGGCGAAACGCCGCGGCGCCGCAGGTGAATCGGAAAGGCTTCCTTTCGAACTTTCGCAACGCGTAGCACGAATAATACGTTCGACCCCGAATTTCGTCGGATTTACCAAATTTTTCGTTCCGGCGTTCGTCGTTAATAGCGTCCGACCGATGTTACGATCGTGCAAACCCAGCAGCCGCCGTCGTTACCGTTATTCATTGGGAAACGTTTTCATCGGTGGTACAAACAAATTTATTCATTCGCCCGGACACGGGAAATATTAATACGGAAATACGTTCGCTGCTTTACGAGGTACGAAATCATCCGTAGGCATCGA